ATTTCTAGTTTGCTGGCTTGGGGGTATTCCCCGATTATGGCTCGCACGGCAAAAGGCAATCAGCCAGGTTGCTAGCGAAGGCGCTACAAGGGTGCCGACCAACAGTACAAATGTTGAAGTACGGAACAAACTCTGCAAGCAACCTGTGTTGAGGGACGTCTCCCTTCAGGAAAGTTCTCGGAGTTTTTCCCCGTTGCGACAAGTATTAGGCTTGTCATGGGTGGCGGCAAAACTGAAAAGTGGCTGGCCGAATTAAGTGTAAACAGACGGCTCTGTACGTTGGGCGGAAAAGATGCCTCAGAGCGGAGGCTTGGAAAGTAGGTGCATGGATGGCTCCAGCGGCCCGTCTATGGTACACCCTAGAAAAGGCTTGTGGGGTTTCCCCTGTACAAAACTGGCTACAACCTTAAGCAAAAAGTCGTTGTTGAGGAGTGTGGAGAGAAATATGCAAGCCAGCTCACTAGTCACTAGCCCTGAAAAGCAAACAAGTTTTCTTGCAGCTTGGTGGCTGTGGGGTTTCCCCCGGGGCAAAAAGTCTGAAACAAAAGGGCCTCGCTCACTTAACTTAATTCTCAGTTCAGTTGAGGTAGTCCTCGACTTCAAGGGCGTTTCCCCTTTCGGTTGTCGTCTTTTGTCCACATGCTTTCTAGTCGGTGGGAGTTCCCCTTTTTCCCCATTGTGGGCAAGGATCTCGTTCTTGGTGTCGAGGAGAAAGTATCACGTTGCACACCCTGGTCAAAGTTTACGACCCGTTGAGCAGCAAGGGAATCGCACCCTGGTGGTTCCAAAAAACGAGGTTAGGCTCCCCGCTGCGGCCACCCTCCGGGAGTGAGGACACCGAAGTCGTCGAGGGCAGCTCCGATGAGGAAGTCGCGTAGAGCAGCAAACTTGCCGTACTGGTGGATGGCTGCACTTGGAGGCACTGCGAAGAGGGGCCACTTGATGAGAAATGTGGCGGGCGTATGACTCAAGCACCGCTGGAAGAAAGTGAACAGGCTCCCCTGGGGGTACACCCCAAGTCAACCAGCCACCTCCCTCCCCGATGCACGGGGGGCGTCACAGGCCCCCCCGAGCAAAGGTGCAGCACTTTGAGCCAAAATGGCTACCTCTCTCTCTCTCTCTCTCTCTCTCTCTCTCTCTCTCTCTCTCTCTCTCTCTCTCTCTCTCTCTCTCTCTCTCTCTCTCTCTCTGCATCTGTCTTTGAGGGTCCGGCTCACCCCTGCTCGGGGTTCATCCTCACCCCTGTTCGGTTCATCCACACCCCTGCGGGGTCCAGGCTGACCCCTTTTCGGGGTTCATCGGACGCCCCTGTGCGGGGCTCTAACGACCCCTGTTCGGGGTCCAAGCTCAACCCTGTTCGGGGTTCATCCACACCCTTGCGTGGGGTTCTCACGACCCCTGTTCGGGGTCCAGGCTCACCCCTTTTCGGGGTTCATCGGTACGCCCTCTAACGACCCCTGTTCGGGGCCCAGGCTCACCCCTTTTCAGGGTTCATCCCGCAGCCCCTTCAAGGGCTTGGTGCGGGTACGCCCCTGTACGGGGCTCCGAAGACCCCTGATGTGGCGACCTGACATCCTGACAGAGCCTGCGCGAATGCTTAATTACAAGCCTGCCGGTGCACCTAGACCTACAAGTACCTCCCTCCTGCCTATCTACTTATCTATACCTACCTGCAGGAGTGGGCGGGCGGGTTTGGGGGTTGGGTGGGTTTACAGTTTAGGGTCCAGGGTTTAGGGCATGAGCTGGACGTTACGAAAGCTTAGATTCCCTTCATGTTTAATCATGAACACACATGCTAATTTTCAAGTCGTTGTGAATCGTACAAAAAGCTGACTTTAGGGTTTCAGAACACAAAATCTCAAGCTTCTTGTTTTCGTTGAGCCACAAGAACACCAAGTTGCATTTGTTTGGTTTGCTCGGCACAAACGAATCTTCAAAATATCTTGATCTTCAACAATATCTTGCAACAAAGAAATTCCATGTGAGCTACAAAACTTGGGACAGGCAATTATGTCAGTATGGCTTTGTTTTTTCGATGTACATGTTTTCACATTTCGAACAAACCAAGTTTTTCAGGCATTGATTTTTCTATTGAGCCACAAGCACACATCTTTTTATACATGTCCAGCATCTCGCTTTTTCCATAGAGCCACAAGAACACACATGACGTAGGCCCAATGTTGCTGCAGTAGTTGCATTTGTTTTCCGTCCTGCCCCGCCCTTCAGCACGACATCAGACATGTTGCTGTACGTGTCGTGTATACACGTGTTCTTACATGTCCATCATGTCAGCAACATAAATCCTAGGACCCGGTTCCATAACGGAAAGGACCCGGTTAGCCCCGGACGGGCATTTTGGACACTTCTCGTCAGGCTTGGGTTTTTTGGCCTCGGCCACCTTCGTCTTGGCCACCTTCGTCTCGGCCACCTTCGTCTCGGCCACTTTTGGTGTGTCCGAGTCAGCAAATTTCAGGAGAAGCTGAATCAAGTCGGCCATGTCGAGCTTCAAGTCGAGCTTAATGCTCATGGTGACATGAATCCTCGCATGGCTTGTCCGAGATGAGTATGTGCTGGCCGAGGAAAATGTGTTCTGCCAGGCTTGCTTGAGCAGTAATGGCCCGACATCGACTACTTGACTGTTTGTTTTATGTACAGGAAACCTTGAGTTACACATAGCTTCGCGATCCAGGTACATAGCTGCTTGACCTAGCTTCACATGTAGCTTCTAGGGAAACGTAGCATGAGGTTAAGTAGCTTAGTTCAGTAAGCATAGTTATACACAGTAGAGCTTGGTTACGTACCTCAATGCTCCGGTGTTCCTGGGTCGACCTCATTTGGGCCTTGCCAGGGCGGTCGCCAGTTCCATTGTGCGCCTGTGGTCGGCCCTACGGTGGAGGCCAGAAAGTGATTGGTTCGCAAGGTTCGAGCAAGCCCATTTTAGTCAGGTCATCATTCATTGAGCATTTATAATATCTTACATGGATGACGGTTACGCAGCTTTGGGTTACGTAGAGTCGGGTTACGTGAATTTGGGTTACGCATAGAGTCGGGTTGTGGGTTACGTAGAATCAGGTTACGTGACTTTGGGTTATAGAATCGAGTTACGTGTAACATTCAGACCAGTACTAATTTGGAAACTTTCACGTGGCACGTCTGGCGGTTACGTTAAATCGAATTACATGGATTCGGGTTACGTGGTGTATGGTTACGTGATTTCGGGTCACGTACACACAGAATTATTTAATTTTAGATATACTTATTAAAATTAAAATTAATTAGGTTTGTATAGGCATAGAGTTACGTGAATGAGGGTTACGTAGATTAGGGTTACGTGAATTCTGGTTACGTAGAACCGGGTTACGTAGAATCGGGTTCCGTGAAAACGTACACACATATTTCATTGTTATTAAGATTGACGAATATTATATGGTAATAAGTTTGTCTAGGCATTGACTTACGTGAATTAGGGTTACGTGAACTCGGGTTACGTGAATTCGGGTTACGTGAATTCGTACACACATATTTGATTATATAATAATAATAATAGTAATAAGTTTGTATAGGCATTGAGTTTATACGTGAATGAAGGTTACGTAGAATCGGGTTACGTGAATTCGTACAGATATTTAATTATTAAGAATTGATATAATAATTAATGGAATGTTATATTAGCAATAAGTTTGTAAAGGCATTGACCCGAAGGCTCCATGTTGCGATATGGGCAATACTTGGCCTCAAATATACCAAGACGCCTCTTTGTACCATATCGTGACGTGGCTTTTTTGGCTTGATGGAGCATACCTGGCATTGTGTGCTCGATGCCTTGTTCTGATCAGGTGTTTGCTTTGTTGATGTACGTGTGGCACGGCATTTTAAAGCCACCGTTGCCACCTCACTATATGTATATATATATATATATGTGCCCGATACCTTTAGGGTCTATATAACCACTGTTTGTTGTCTTCAGCACCTAATGGAAAGCAAAATATAAGATACAAGCACAGCCCACATTACAAAGCCACTACCTGAAAAGTTTCGGATCGATTAGACTATATTTTTTATATCAAGTAATTATATCAAATTACTCGCATTCATGGAGACGAGTATTATATAAACAGAATATCGAATGTCGATCCCAACACCGTCAATGAATAAACATTCGTTGTGATGACACATGTCAGTGTATAGAGTCCATACATTTTGCAGGAATGATGTATCGTCGTGGAGATATGCATAGCATTGTCAGCAGTATATCGGTAACATGGACAAATTGTCCCGTACAAATATTTCAATATTCGACATATTGTTGACTTGCCAGCGCTTGACTCATTGCACACGACATATCAATCCAAGCATCGCATAATAAGCATGCACGCTGTAATATGGCATAAATTCATTCCCGCTTATACTACTGAATTCTTAACAACTCGCATTCGAACCTCTTCCGACTCGCACTCGCTGCTGTAACTGGTCCGATTCTATGAAGGAGAACCCGGGCACGCCGGGATATTGCTTTGGTAAAACCTCGAGGCATCGATATGCAAGGAAAGGTCCACCCCTTTCTGGTGCATAAACCCCGTACGGAACAATCGTCCTCAGGGGAAGAGGGTCCCTCCCTCATACCTCAAGGTAGTCGCAAACACGCGCAACCCTAACCAGTCCGGGCGACTCCACAAGAGACCGGGTCGGATCAGTGCGGGTGGGTGGGCAAAATCAGCTGACTGCCGTTTTGGATCACTCTTGAGTCAAAGTGGCTGCCAGCAACGAGCCTAGAGTGATGCATGTGCGCCCAAGCTTACCAAACTCGACACACGTATATATTTGTAATTTCCGCACAGACCAGAATGGCGCACGGTCATTCTTCCTACATACTATGTATGCATCACTCGGCATAGTACGGAATACATTTGCAGTCCGACTCTGTAGAAGACTTCAGCACGTCCCTCGAAATATCACATCATGAATGCAGTTTTCATTATGTTCAGTGCGTTCGAGATATCTCAGGACGCGACATCACTGGCAGCCAGATGTGAGGTGTCCTGCCAGCACATGAATAACACACGCGGGATTTGTTGCTCTGGCTCTACACCATCGATCCACTCCGCTGCATAGGTCATTGTTTTGGTGCCGGCCTCATCATAGTGGTACTATCAACCCTCACGCTTTACCTTCACACCTGCACTTCGCAGTGTGTGAATCCTCTTAACCGACAAAGGGGTCACACGTCTCTTCTTGCTCGCATTGCCTTGCTTCTTTGAAGCAGGCCTTTTCGAGACGTGCTGACGAACTAGACGAGCTTCAAGCTGTCTAGCTGTCGACAAGGGCAATGTAGCCTTCTTAGGAACTGTGAGCGATGACTGTTCGGCACACCACACGTTCCAGTCGTCTTCGCTCCACAGAGATCGGTGCAGCGATCTGCTTAGAAGCATGCTTGCACTGACTGTGTGTGATAAAGGGTATCGCACTGACAGGTAGTGCAATAGCAATTTGATGTAACTGAAATACTTCAACTTCATTCCAAGAGTAGAACGGTGAATCACGTTGGTGCTTCGAGACCATGAGTTTATCTCAGCATGCAAGGCCTCGTTGCTAGATGTTCCACTTGGGAGGAACCATTGGTAGGACGACGGCAAAGCATGTCGGACTCGTAGGTTGTTCATTAGCCACTCCAAACGATCGGGTGCACAAGCCGACCAAAGAATTTTACTAATCTGCTTGTTAGCACCGGCGATCTTCCTATTAACCTCTGCCGGGTATCTTCGACACAAAGCAGCACGGCACTGGATGAACTCCAACCGAGTACCGAATGGAACGTTCGTATCCAAGTTGTCCAGCATGCCATTACATTCCCTGGAGTCCATAAATGAACCTGATATCATCTCTCGGTACTTCATCTCCTCCTCAGTCAGCGGGCGGGCATTCGTGCCGTCGTAGAAAGTTCCCCATGCATCATGCCCTAAGTCAGCATCAATCGAAATGCACTTCTGAAGAATCCGACGAAGTTGTTTGGATCCCGGGCTGCGTTTGTTCCAAAAGCCATATTCATAGACAATAGCCAAATGGATTGGATCCAGAACAAGTGATCTCATGGATGGACATATTGTCTTCAACTCATTGAACAGCTTCTCTGAGGGTTGGTCTCGACGTGAACCACTGCCCCAAGTTGCTCTGTCGAGAAATTTTGCGCCATGGCATCGACGACTTGATCCGCAGACTCACTCTGGAGAGGATGCAAAAGCAGGACCGCACCAGTTCGACCTCTGACGGTCAGGAGTCTTCTCCATGCTACGTCATTCCCAAATGGCGCCTCATTGCGAACTGACTTTGGAGAGCGATATGAAGCTTGACCCATTAACTTCATGCATAATTTGAGGGTGGCGTCCATGCTTATGTAGTGCCACTCATCTTGCTCCAGCAGGACTTTGTTCATATCCTCCATCTTTTTGAGGAAAATCGGTGCCGTGACAATGTCCTCCAACATAGGCATCCAATGAGGGGAACGACGGGGAAAGAGGCTGGATAGGACAATACCAGATTCAAGAGCTGCCATGTGGCATCGAGTGGAAACGGTCCGGACCTAAGTTCAGTATGGCGACATCTCATGTGAATGCGAGGCGTATAGACGAACGGCATCGACATGGATAATTGCAGATTAGAAGCCTGAGTATGATTCAGTACCATTTCCCGTAGAAGAAGGTCTGTGAAGGAATGTGTATAATAAAGATTACGAACTCGCCGCACTTGCAGATCGCTGCCAATGCTGGATACGTTCACATACTTGGGCCCAGCCGCGTCAAAGACGAGTCTGATCTGCTTGTCAATGCTGTTGTGGCTGTTATGCAAAGGCGGCTGCACCGTCTGTCGGATGATCATAGCACTTTCTTGCAGTAGATTGACAGCCACTCTCTGCGATGATGCAGCGTGGTCGTAGATAGCCAGTGTGACCTTAATTTGCTTTGTTCCAGAACATACATACTGGTTCTTCTTGGTGTGGTGCTTTGCAATGTGGGTCCGCAGCAGCCGGAGCTGTGTGAACGACCTGAAAGGACATGGCGGGCAATGTCGTCTTCCTTCGGATCTCATCGATTTCTTTTGTAGATCATTGAGGATGTCGCTGGTTTCATTCTTCAATGATTCTAGGATGTTGTCGTTGAAGACAGGAACATTGTCTTCGTCGAAGGATAGTGTGTTGGGCATCTCCACGGCACGAACCTCAGAGACATCTTGTGAAGAATCCTCGTCCAGATCTTCAGCGACATCTCTCGCTCCCGCCACCATGTCCAACAGCGTGGCCGACTTGTCGTCCTTTTTGTCCTGGGGATCCTTCTTCCAGTAGGACACAATGGTGGAGTGATCGACTGCCGCACAGTGTATTTCGTGTAGAGTCGCCATGTCCAATTTGTAGACTGTCGCTCCGTCGATGATGGTCACGTCCTTCCCAGAGGCACTCACCCGGACGGCGATGCTATGTGGCAGACCGTGGCCTTCGTAGTGTATCATGAAGGCTTTCACATGTGCACTTGGCATGCCCAGACAGCTGCTCAAATCCACGGAACACATGGCTGCGACAGACCGATAGTCTCTGTATCCAACACTCTTGGCCTCCACATTCTTAGGCAATGAAGTGTTGGACACAGCTGCGACGATTGCTGTTCGCGAAAGCGGAACCACATGCCACAACGCACACGGTATGCAGTTGCCCGGCTGGAACATAATGTCGGGAACATTTGTGAGTGCATTGCCATGCGTGCTTCTATTCTTCACCAGGTCCATGAAAGTGAAATGTTTCTTCGACACAATCTTGACCAGGAAACCAGTCCTCTTGTAGATCGCATTCTCGCACTCCCTGATGAAATCATCCTGCAAAGCTCCAACATGATCCGCAGATATTCGGCCCCCATCGAAGTGGAGGGACAAGTGCTTGGGCTGGTTGGTATGACTCAAAATGTGATCGGTCCAGTTTTGTAGTATCCTGTCTTCCACGGACGTCCACAAGAGAGATAGAATGGCGGACGATGGGAAAGTTTTTTGCTTCTGCTCGGCGAGTGACATGTAATCAGCATGAAGGAGATTGCAGGCTACCCATCTGACGTACAGGGAAATCTTTTGGATACCTTTCACGACTGCATTGCCCTTTAACGATGTCGGCGGACTGCCGCCGTTCAGGACGGTGTTGATCACTTCCTTGCCCTCCACTATGTTAAGACCGAGTTGCTGTAGGACTCCTGTCCGATCTTTCGCAAGACGGTCCAGAAGTTGAGCAAGATCATCGGGCATGGCCGGCTGAGGAGCAGTCTGAGCGAGAATCTGCTGCAACAACGTAAGGCAACAATTCTGGATGTCCAAGTCAATGGTGTGGCCGTCTACGACGTGAAGTTGTAGTCGGCGTGACATAGATTGGACTCCATCGGTGGTAGCGTAACGCCTAGCTCGCACGGTGTACGGCTGTTTCTCCGAGTAGCCATATGATGTGGTTCGACTGTGCTTCAAGGACACATACTCCCGGCCATCCGGCAACCCATGTTGTGGTGACACAGGATCGTCGCCCTCCACGGATCTCTTTGCACGCAACCGTCTTCCCTGCCGGGTGGTCAAGAGCTTGGTGAGAGCTTTCTCATGATCCTCCAGCTTTCGGAGGTGATTGTGGTAGGTCTGCATGACATCTTCCTGTTCCGCGGTACGACGGCCTTTCTTGGCAACGGGAAGCATTGACTTGTAGAATGCCTTCATGGTGTCAATGTTCATGCTGCGGCCTCGACAACCGTATGCATACTTTCTAGCCAGACCAATGTCGACCTCCTCGTCGAATTGCATGTGAATGGTGTCCAATGAACGTTGTGGGCAGATGTCGCAATGTTGCTTTGAGAAGGTCATCATGGGGATGTACGCACCAGGCTTCTCCTTGCTGCTCTTCTGCCGTACAAGTGCGGTGCGGACTACACCCTTTTCCTTTAACTGTTCCCACATCTCTGCTTTCGACAGATTCGGGTGCTCACCAGGCTTGCAGGCGACCTTCTTGAACTCGTACCAGGTCATGAGCTCCATATCCTTGTCCAGCATGTGCATCGCGAGATGGTTCCGGAGGTTTACCCATTCGCTGTCCTTTTCTTCTCGCTCATCGGCACTTTCCTGTCCAGCTGCGAGGAGATTGCCCACGTCGTCTTGCTCTTGTAATTGATGAACTCGCATAGGCAGACCACAGGCCTCTCTCATGACGTCCTCCGTCAAGTGACCATCACCTCCGTTGCAATAGTCTTCGATGAGCTGGTAGCAGTCATCCTTGTTACGGTCGACTTCGAACGCGCACTGTAACTTCAGCCCCGCGATGGATGCCTGGGAGGAGGAAAGGAACTTGCACAGGCTAGGGTCAGCCGCGAAAACGCCGTCTTTCTCATGGTCCTTGTAGTTCCTGAGAAACTTCTCATGGACGAAGCGGGCCTTGGCTTTCCAAACAAATGCACGGCGAAGCATCGAGTTGAAGTTGGCGTTCGTCACGCCAAGAAAGGCCATCATCTTATTGACTTCCAACCGCGTCCAGCCGATCGTCTGGAACATCCGGGTACTATAGCCATATGGCTTTCGTGCCATAATTCCATCTCCCGACATCATTTTCTTGTATAGATCAATGTGGAGCTTTCTACTTGTCTCGGGTGCTTCTTGACCTGTGAGGATAAAGCATTTGGCGAATGACTCGACCTGCTTTCGCAGTTCTTCGTCGAGATGCCAAATGTTCGGGTCGAAGTAACTGTGGTTATGCTTATACATCTCGGACAGGTGATGTGAATACAGACTTTGTCCCACGCCGCCTGGGGAGATGCCAGTAAAGCATCGATCCACATTGAAGCCTCGCTTTGCGATGGCGATGGCAGCCTGGAAGCACTTGAACACATCGAGGTTACACCAGAACGTCCTCTCGTAGAACAACTGAACTCTCTCCATGTTTGCCTCCAGGACAGGATCCAACAGGGATGTGGGATCCTCACGTAACAATTATTTTGAGGGCCCTTCCTCACAACGTCGACCGGGAGAGTACTGCCTGAGCGATCATAGGCAAGACAGATATCGTCATAGCAGACAGTGGATGAACGCTTGTCTTCGGTTTCACACCATTCAACCAATAGTGAAATCATTCTTGTTTGCATCAGTTCCTGCTTGACGACACAGGAAACTTTCTAAGACCGGGACGCCATATCCATTGTCCAATCTTGGCCAGCTTCTCCACCGGTGCGATCCTGTTGTAGAGCATCTACTTCTTCGGCGTCCAATCTTTGTGAATACGCAGGTGCCTGTGATCTTCTGCTGGTGGCGGTTCTGCATAGGGTCAGATAGTCTGCTTCTGTCTCACAAGTCAGCAGGTCAGCTGCAATGGCGTCGGCCACGGAAGCCCCATCACGTGCAATTTCGGGCTTCATTATTTTCCCTTATGTGTCAACCGGGCGTTCCATATTCTATATATACAAAAGGGTATACATATAAAAATTCAAGATATTTCACTCTTCGTCCGAATATATACTTCACCAATAATAAAAATTCGGCTCACACTAGCGGCTCGCTTTTTCTCGTGATTGGGGCATCGCAGTGCCTTGCCCTGGGCTCGGGCCCAGGGCGCTTTGCTCTTTGTTCAGTTTCAACAAAACGCATTTGTACAAGATGCATTGTGAAAGAAAGATGCCACCTGCATCATTGCGAACTTCGCAGCACAACTTGTGCGAATATCAACCAGGGCGGGCTGGGTGGGACAAAACTTTTTCCGGACTTATGCCGGAAATTTTTTTCTTACCCTCCCACCACCCTGTGGAGCCAACAGACGGCATAACAAAGACTTCATCAAGATTCTTCAAACATGAACTGTCATGTCTTGTGTTGGGAAAACTTTGACAAAACTCACGCCCTAAATTTTGAGTTTGTTTGACAAACCAAAATTTTTGACACAGGGGAAAATAAAGCTTCATCCGCTATTCGCGGAGTTGCGTCTTATTTTCCCTTATGTGTCAACCGGGCGTTCCATATTCTATATATACAAAAGGGTATACATATAAAAATTCAAGATATTTCACTCTTCGTCCGAATATATACTTCACCAATAATAAAAATTCGGCTCACACTAGCGGCTCGCTTTTTCTCGTGATTGGGGCATGGCAGTGCCTTGCCCTGCCCCTGTCTTGGCACTAAGAGCGCCCAAACTACTTGCCGCCGCACCACTTGTGCACATCACTTCGGTCGTGACCTCGACCCCTCAAGAAGGCTTTCGAAGAACTTTGCAGCAGGCCTAACACGCACAGGTGTCGGCAGGTCCCACACTCCTCTCGAAAGCGGATCCGAAGGATTACTCACAGATGGAACTCGATCGTACCAAACCATAAAGCCAAGGCTTTCCTCAATCTCGCATACCGCATCGATAACATGCGTTGCAAACTGACTTACTGTCCAGCACTTTACGAAGGCGCCGTGAACACCTTCGTTGTCGGTGAACACAACCACATTCTTGCCCTTAAGAGCCTTGAAGAAAAACTTCAGCGCAACATATACCGCCAAAGCCTCCAGCTCAAAGATGACAGTCTCTTTGACACGCTCAAAGGACGTCATGACTTGGGAAACAAGCGAAGCATCAAGGTTTTCACCGAACCATTGGAGCAAGGAGCCTTTATGGTCATATGCCATGCCCCCGATGCCACAAAGCTTGCCTTCATCGCTGAAAGATGCATCCACATACACATGCACAACATTGCCCAGTTGCCGACTAATCGAGCGGCTCTGATTAGACGAAACCAGACGCCTCAAGAAGCGGCACGCCTCGGAAGTGACCTCACTCAGCCGACCTCCGTGATGCCGGCTAAGCTGGTGCAGAGCAACCTTCGCCCTTCGACCGAACAACTGGCCCGAAGCAAACTGCAGCCTACCTCGAAGCCTCTCGCAGTCAGAATGCGACAACCTGCCAGCTAACAAGACCTCGTCCAAGGCAGCAGTCAACTCAAGCACACGCTTTTCGGTGTTCACCAACTTGAAGAGCCCCAGGCGAGCTTCAGACATGTCAATCTTGATTCCAAGAACTTTACAGCACACGTCGTAAGGCAAAAGTTTATCTAGTGAAAGATCCCAACCTAGTAGCCGAAACAGAGTGCTGATCACGACTTCCACATGTCGGCGCTCCTCAGGCTTGCAGGCCGATAGGAAATCGTCAAAATAAAAACTCCAGACCAAGGCAAACATTTTTACCCCCAACCGCCAAATCCCGAATGCACAACGGATAAAGGCGGTCACTGAGGCTTTTGCCCCGAAGGGCATGACCCGCTGCTTGTAGATGACGTGCTTGCGAGTGCGGGGACAGAAGATCACGAAAAAGCTATCCTTTTCGAAACTCTTGTCACTAAGCGGCAGTTGCTTGTACGCGGCACTGAGGTCCCAACATTTGCACACAAGTCCCGCATGCAAGGACTTCAAAGGAGACAAGTGCAACCACATCGCCAACATGCCAGCAACTACGTCTAACGTGTGAACGGGCACTTGTTCACTTTGGGATACAACCGAATTTACAAGCGAACTCAAGTAATTGTCGATCGGTCTAACTTTGGGACCGTCCTCGGTCTCTCCTTGAATCACTCCAAAGCGATGCGTAACCGTCCCGTCATCGGGGATGTCGCTGGCACTCACCGGCCCCTCAATGAAGCCTTTGGTTAACTCCTTCTCCGTGGCCGCAAGCACGCCTTGATCCACGATCTCGTCACCTGAACTTTTAACCGAAGCCAAAACCTGACCCCTAACTAAACCCGCACTTTTCCTAAGCGTTTCCTCGGCCATGGCTGCCGGGCGGTACTTATTCTTAAAGGCGTTAGATCGTGGCAGGGGTCCGGTTAAGTCAAAACCGTTTGACAGATCAGATATCAAGTCCTCGTCCTCATGTCCCACGCTGTCAAGCATCTCTTTCATCAAGAGCAGCCGCTTGTTGCACAACACTTGACGTCGATGGGAGCTGAAGGATCCCTTGAGCTGGCTTTCGGCAGTTTCCAGCTCCTCAGCACGAGCGAGCCATTTCTTGAGCATCTCAGTGCGCTCTCGCCCAAGCGTAGCAACATCTTTGGAATGATTCGCCCGTATGGCCTCGACAAGCTCTGATGGCAAAAGGCTTTCCAAGTGACACGGATGTTGCACGCTCAACGCCCTCGCCACGAACTCCTCCGGCTCATGGTACACGCCGAAAGTGATACTTCCTTTTTGTACTTTTGCGACCCTGGGAGGCACATCACTAGAACCACAAGAGGGGCCTAAGGGGAAACCCAAGCTTTCTAAGAACCCTTTGTCGGCAGTCGCAAGTTTGGTCACTCCCACTGGGGTGTATGCAACGATCACTCCTCTGTCACCTCGCCACGGTTGAGTGGCATGCCAACGCTTCGGTTCAAAGATAAAGGGTCTCCCAACTTCCAAGTCGTGAAATCTCCCAGCACGTTGGGTTTTTCCGACGACCATTGCAATAGGTCCACCTGCCTCCTCGAGCCACAGTCCTCCTCCAGCACAGGCATGCGTTGCCATGATCAGGTTTTTTGTTCCTGGCTCATTGTGCAAATCACGATGGGCTTCTGCGCGCACATTGCACAGATAGCCCACGGCAGAGAAGCAAAAACCCGGAGCATTATCGCGAACATGCTTGCAAAGCACGGCAGTGCACCAAGGCATATCCCGCGTCAAGTTTTTGCAGCCCGTCATGGGCCCATGAGCATAAGCTCCGCACAGAAACTGATTAGATTGGTCATCACAGCTCCCCCTGGCTCTGGTCTGATGTTTTTGCGGCAACATGTCCAAGAAAGTTCGCATCTCCTCTTGGCTGAAGCGAGTGTTCCAACGTAACATGATGCAAGCAAGCTTCTCAGCAGGGTGAGCATCCTCAGGCGGAGAGTGAAGGTCCGAACATGTACTGTGAAGAAAAGTGGCTGCCGGCGAGTCGTCTTGCCCGTCAGCCTGGCCCGCACTCAAGTTGTCCGAAGCATCCTCTGAACTATCCCCCGGCACCGTGAGGATGCGAAGAACTTTGGCACCTTGTGGCACGGACGACACGAAGCACGGGTCAACGTTTGCAGAAGCAGGTACCTCCCATGGTGAAGAGGGTTTGCAGCCTACTTGAAGGCCATGCATAGACGCAGCAGGGAAGCTGCCACGGACGTTCACAACATGTTTGAACTCCGGAACCAGAGGAAGGACACGCTTATTGCTTTGCCAACCAGCCACAGCTCTGGCCGCTGCAACGGTGGGTGTTGCCTGACTCAAGTCAGTAGGCAGAGGCTTGGCCCCCATGTCAAGCAGTTGATCTTGCAGAAGCTGTGACATAGCCTTGCACAAACCCCAAGGAAAATCCAAATCACGGTCGAACTTGCAGCAGACCAAAACTTGTGTACATGTCCACCGGCACATGGACGATGCAACTCCAGAAATTTTGGCAGGGAGTGCAACATTCGCATAGCCTTTTTGAAGGGCGAGTCGTAGCTGCAGAGGTGAAAGTGCGTCGTGAAGAGAGGAACTTCCTGAAGCAAAAGTCGCAAAGGTTTGGTAGCCCACACGAAACTTGACTCTGGATTGCAGATGCTGAAAAGCACTCCGCGTTCGTGACATGTTTTGCAAGCTGTAGCCACAGCACGCAGGTAAGCATTGGCATCACTCACTCTAGTACGATCGGCTAGCCCCAACCCTGGAACTCCATCGGGATGTGATTCGTTCCGCAGGATTGCAGGGGCTCCTGCAAATTGACGCAACCTGGCGCGGCTTGTAGTATTACAGGGCGGATAAAAATGAACATAGATCAAATTTTCTTCGGTCAAAATCTCCTGGAATTGCTTGCGACCCGACTCTGTACACAAGTCAATCACAATTCGCGGTGCACAGCACTTGCCGGCTGTTCTATCAACGGAAAAACTGTTATCAAGCTGTCGCTGCTTGAGGCATGCAACCAA